CTTTCTCTGCCTTTCATTTCTGTTGTCACCAGAAGGGAATTTTTAAACATTTTAAAAATAGTTCTTTCCCTGTAAGTCACCCCGAACACAATCATTTCCTCCAGTTTCAAACATAAGGGATCCTCCCTCTCAGACAAGAATGATCCTTGTTGTACGTCCACGGGCTCATGTGTTCTTTTTATTCTGAGAGGCCCCAGCTCAAACAGCTTACAAGGTTAAGGGTTACTCTGTTTGTTCCCAACAGAGCTAATCCCTGCTTTAATAAATAGAGGTCTACAATTCTTTTTTTTTTTTTAAGATTTTATTTATTTATTCATGAGAGACAGAGAGAGAGAGAAAGAGAGAGAAGCAGAGGGAGAAGCAGGCTCCCCGCCAAGCAGGGAGCCCGATGCAGGACTCGATCCCAGGACCCTGGGATCATGACCTGAGCCGAAGGCAGATGCTTAACCATCTGAGCCACCCAGGCGCCCCTCTACAATTCTTTTTTGAACATGCCTTCAAAGTGGAGATCTTTGGCCATGAGCTCTTCTTTGACATCATCAAGTGTCCACTGGCAATCTGTTAGCTCTAGAACTTTCCACTTTGCCTTGAAAGCTTTGTTGCTGTCTGTGGGCATGGCCGTGGCTGCTCCAGTCATCTTTGCCTGGATTGTTTTTTTTGTTTGTTTGTTTTTTAGATTTCATTTATTTACTTGACAGAGAGCACAAGCAGGGGGAGCAGCAGAGGGAGAGAGAGGAGGGAGATTGAGAGCCTGATTCGGGGCTCAGCCCCAGGACTCTGGGATCATGAGCTGAGCCAAAGGCAGACAGACGCTCAACTGACTGAGCCGCTTAGGCGCCCCTGCTTGGATAATTCTTGACTGGTTATTGGCTTTATTTTGGCTCAGAATGAGAGAATAAATGCTCTGAATCCCAAATACATAGAAGTACCAGGATGTAGCATTTACCCAGATGCAGCTAATGTGAATAGTTGAATTCCTTGCGATAGCATAGCCTTAAAACAGGGTCACTGGAAATAGGACTTTGGTTGTAACAAAGCCTGAGCATGTCGTTATCCAATCACTAGTAAGAATAATTGGAGGACATGTGTTAAATTCCCTTTCACCATGTTGGTGAGCATAATGATATCAGTCATAAGAGAAGGTAGTACTGTTTTCCCTTTAGTTTTTTGAAAAATCCATCGTTTGAGGTGTTGGAAGTAATATTTTCACGTCAAGAAGGACTGTTTGGGAATATTATTTCCATTTTCCCTGAGGACTCTCCTTTGTACTAAGACTTCAACTGTCAAATACCTGCTCCTGGGTGAGTTTCTTGTTACTCTGCAGCAGGATGGTGGATCATGCCCACGGAGAGGGTGATGATAAACATGGGCAGGAACACCCAGAAGCTCACATTGGAGTCAAGCAGCAGCTCCTGCCATCTTTTTTTTTTTCTTTTAAGATTTTATTTTATTATATTTTTTTTAGAGAGGTGTGGAGGGACAGAGGGAGAGGGAGGGAGAATATTAAGCAAACTCCGTGCTCAGTGTGGAGCCAGACTTGGGGCTTGATCTCACAGCCCTGAGATCATGACCTGAGCTGAAATTAAGAGTCAGACACTTAACTGAGTCATCCATGCACCGCTAAAGATTTTATTTTTATGTAATCTCCACACCCAGCGTGCAACCCTATTGCAGAGTTACATGCTCTACTGACTGAGCCAGCCAGGCGCCCTTCCCGCCATCTTAATTTATAGGGGCGCCTGGGTGGCTCAGATGGTTGGGCGTCTGCTTTCGGCTCAGGTCATGATCCCAGGGTCCTGGGATCAAGTCCCGCGTCAGGCTCCCTGCTCCTTGGGAGCCTGTTTCTCCCTCTGCCTCTCTCTTTCTCTCTCTGTCTCTCTCTGTCTTTCATGAATAAATAGATAAAATCTTTAAAAAAAAATTTATTGAGAGCCAGCCTAATCAGGATTGCAGGTCAGGCCCTCAGCCTGGGCATTACCCTGTTCCAGAACTGGCCCTGGCTGTGCTGTAGCCTCAGGCCTAGTGTGCTGCCTTCAGCTGGGCTGCCATTTTATTTTATTTTATTTTATTATTTTTAAAATATTTATTTGAGAGAGAGAACGAGTGTGGGGGAAGGGCAGAGGGAGAGAATTTCAAGCAGACTCCTTGCTCACACAGGGCTCGAACTCATGACCCTGAGACCATGACCTGAGCCAAAAGAGTTGGATGCTCAACCAACTGAGCCACCCAAGGTGCCCCTGCCATTTGATTTTAAATAGTTTCTGAAGTTTATAGAGTTCTAAAACAGTCATCAAGGTTCCCTGAACTCTTGCTTGTTCTAAACCATCTGTATTAAAACCACATATTGAGGTGAAAGGTACTAAACCTAGGTTTTTTTTGACCACTCCAACCTTCCTTGCCTCAGTGAAAAAAAAAATCAGGCTATAAGATAGTGTATACCATATGAATTCATTTTTATAAAAACACGAAAACTTATATATCACTGCCTACCATATCAAATAAGTACTCAATAAAAATTATAGCATAATGATTGAAATGATTCAATATGCACTAAAAACAATGGATATATATTATGTAATTGTTTAAAAGTAGCACTTTTTTTTTTTTTTTTAGAGAGCACGTGGGTGTGCACACACGCACGTGGTGGTGGGGGAAAGGGGCAGAAGGAGAGGGAGAGAGAATCTAAAGCAGGCTCCATGGCCAGCATGGGGCGACAGGGAGCTTGATCTCACCACCCTGAGATCACCACCAGAGCCCCCACAAACCCCAAGTGTTGCATTTTATTTATTTATATGTGGTGAGAGAGTGGTGAAGATGAAAATACTTTGTAGCTATAGATAGAGCCATGCAGGAAGTCATAAATTAAGCCATTTCCTGAAATAATCTCATGCTGCTAAGAGATTTTATTATCCTTTTGCTCTGAAAGCAACATAATAGTTGGGATGTATCATAAGGAAAAACTGTCTTCCGTAGTTGAGGTACATAGAGCACAATGGGGGGGTGCGCCTGGGTGGCTCAGTTGGTTGGGTGCCTGCCTTCAGCTCAGGTCGTGATCTCAGGGTCCTGGGATCAAGCCCCACATAGGGCACCTTGCTCAGCGGGAAGCCTGCTTCTCCCTCTCTCTCTGCCCCTCCCCACCACTTGTGTTCTCTCTCTCCCCTTTTCTATCTCAAATAAATAAATAAAATCTTATAGAGTGCATTGGGACACAATTCCAAAGCAAATGGCTCACCACAGCTGATAGAGCTCAGCTGTAATGACAGATGAGTGATGGCTCTCTTACTCTTGCTTGAAAACAGCCTGCTTAAGTACTGGAATGGGAGATACACTCACTGGACAGAGACCTTTTAGGTGAGAAATAGAGAAGTTATCCTTGTCCTAGGGAGCTCATAGGCAAGTGACTTTGGGAGGTTACACTTAGAGTTCTTGTGCTTCAGTTGAATTCATCTTTAAAATAAGGATGAGGGCACCTGGGTGGCTCAGTCGGTTAAGCGTTTACCTTTCTGCTCAGGTCATGATCTCAGGGTCCTGGGATAAAGTCCCACATTGGGCTCCTTGCTCAGTGGGGAGTCTGCTTCTCCCTCTGCCTCCTCTTCCCCCTGCTTGTACTGTCTCTCTCTCTCTCTCTGACAAATAAACAAAATCTTAAAAAGAAAAAAAAAGATGGGGGTGCCTCAATGGCTCAGTCAGTTAAGCTTCTGACTCTTGGTTTCAGCTCAGGTCGTGATCTCTTAGTTGTTGAGATCGAATCCCCCCCCCCCCCAGTTGGGCTTAGCAGGGTGTCTGCTTCAGATGCTCTCTCCCTTTCCCTCTCCTTCCCCCTCTGCCTCTTCCCCTGGTTGCCCCCCCAATAAAGAAATAAAAGCTACCTAAAATAAGGATGATAATATTATTCCTGCTTAAAAGGTTGTTATAATAAAAACTACTTAAAAGCATCACTTGATATTTTAAAAATACAGATTTAGATATGTCATATAATGTAAATTCTAAATTTGCTCATTGTAAGTAAATACTTATTGAATGTTTAAGTCAAGGACTGTGCTAAATGTAATTTTTAAATATTTATTTTCTCAACAGGTGGTACTTTATTTGGTAAAACAATTTCAAAAGGGTCTACAGTGAAAAATCTTCCTTCTGCCTTTTCTCCTGGCCCCCAGGATCTTTTCATTGTTTTCAGAGAGATTTTATGCATGTATATATATACACACATTAGATACGTTGTACTGTGATACTATGTATCTGCTTTTTAAAGTCACAGAAGGTAGCCTATTATATAAACTACACCTCTCTCTTTCTGAGTACAAAGTATTTCGTATCTTTATGTCATTTGATATAATAGTAGTTAAGATAGGTACTCCTGTTACCTCCATTTTATAAACTAGAAAGCAAAGAGCTCTCCGTTTCTTAGTACCTTGTCCAGGGACACATAGCTTGTCAGTCATAGACAGGATCTACTTCCTAGGTATAGAGGGAGTTATTTTGGTACCACTGATTTGACTTTTTATCTTGAAACCATTTCAGACTTACAGAAGAGTTGCAAGAATAGAATAAAGAATTCCATATACTCCTTGACCAGATTCTCCATTCGGGTTTCTGCGGCCGTCTGGATAATGTTGGCAAAAAGAGTCAAGCTGGGAGCACATGTTGTTTCAGTTGCACTGTCTTGTTAGCCTCCTTCAGTCTGGAACTGCTCTTAGGCTTTCCGTAGCTCTTGTGACCTTGATGTTTTTGGTGATCACAGGCTGGTCGTTTTGTAGACTCTCTCTCAATTTGCTGTTGTCCTAGATTTCTTCCCAGTTAGGCCAGTATTATACACTTTTGGTGTGAGTATCACCAGTTATGTTGTGTTCTTCCCAGTGCATCCCGTCAGCTGGCATACGGTGGCGATTCATCCCACGACTCCCGTTAAGGAAGAAAAAAAAAAAAGCAGAAGAGGAGAAAGTAACATAAATTAATTTTCATTTCCGCGGGCCCAACGTTCAAATATCTTTTCTTTGTAGCATCCTGGGGGAGAAGAGGTTCTGCTGGAACAAGCTGGTGCAGATGCAAGTGAGAGCTTTGAAGATGTCGGCCACTCCGCTGATGCCAGAGAAATGCTAAAGCAGTACTATATTGGTGATGTGCATCCGGTAAGAACGAGCTGAGCTAGGAGTGCTTACAGAGATGAAGCTGCTGAACAGCCACAGAACACAAGGAGGGGAATGAATCATTAAAACGGAAACTCATTGAACCCAGCCATCAGGCTACATATTCTCCCAAATCCTTTTGCCTGCTGTGCCGAGATACAGCTTCTTGTATGTAAAGCAACACCAGTAGTTATCTGAAAAGTTAAGGGAAGTGATTTTGGAATTTTTTTTAATTGATTTTTGTGATGCAATTACATCTCTACCTAAAAGAATGATTTGGTTGTTCTTGGAAATTCCTTGCTAAAAGTGGTAACTATGGACGTTCTAACAAGGGACCCTGATAGGCCCAGAGTTGGGGCAGGGAGAGCATCTGCCTTTCTACAGACCTTGACGTCTTTCAGAGAATTCTCTATTACCAGAATGTATTCTCATGGTCTAAGGTTAGAAACAAGCACATAGTGCCCAGGGTGAGAATTCATTTGGATATGACTTAAAATATTATTTGTTTTCCTTTCTTAACAGAATGACCTTAAACCTGAAAGTGGTAGCAAGGTAAGAAGTCATCTTTCTCTTATGTGTTTCAAGTGTTTATATTTCTATTTACTCAAATAGAATGTCTTTTGAAAAAATTAACAAGAGAAGTGTTTACTTTCCCCCCAAGCAAAAATCCCATTTTTTCAGGAATTTGGATTCGATGCCATCTCAGGAAAAAAGAATAACTGAGTCTTAAACAGTAGGAAACATTTTGTTCATGCTTCTGTTTGCTTTAAAAAAAAAAAAAAAAAGGAAATTCTAAAGCCAGTATGGTTTTGAAAGAAATTAGTTGATAGGTTCAGTTGTAGAAAAGTATTTCTTATTCTTTCATTAAATAATACAGGTGATAACAATTCTGTGTTGGAAAAAAATCATTGGAAAATTGATTTTCACTTAAAAGTCTGAGGAGTTACAGATTGAAGTAATTGACCGGAATGGGCCTTTCTGTCCCTGTTACCCAGATTTAATCCTTTTATCGTATAGGCTCAAATAGGCCTATACCCATTTCATTTACTCAGTGATACAGCAAAAACGAAAGAGTAAATATTTGAAAAACTTAATGTGCACTGCATAACATACCAGGCACAAAATATGAAAGCCTTTTAGCTTCCCACAAGCGGGGCTCTTCATTTCCCTTACTACTTCAGGCTTTTTCTTGACTTCCTCCTTCAGACAGCTATCAGGTTACCCTTTCACTTAAAGGGACAGCAGTTTAGTTGCAACCAGAACGTCATTTCACAATGTCTGCAGTCTGTTGCTGTGCAATCCAGAGTGTTTGTGGAAATTAACTCTTTCGTCTTGCTACACTCCGCTATTCTGAATTGTTGAACTGTTTATGAAGGGGGGTGAAATGATTGTTTTAAATGCTTCCGGAGCACTGTTGGTTGGTCTTTTTTCCCCTTCCTAGCACATGTGATGAAGGTCAAGTTCGAGCTGTGCGTGGCCTTGCTGAATATATTGGACTTGTCTAGAAAACACTGGTCTTGGTTAAAGTAAACATTTAATTCAAGGGATATTCCCATTTGTGCCAGAGATACACGTTGTATCTAGGAGCCATAACCCACTTTCACACATCAATCATGAGAGCGCCTTTACTAAAACAATAGAAAATATTTTGGGAATTACAATTGTCTAAAAGTCTACAAATTGCTTCTTGTTGCTATTTTTCTTCCTTGGTGATTCAGTGTGTGGTGAGGACCATTCTTGGGAATGGAGAGTGGTATTTTTCAGGTTCTGTCCCTTGGACCACCTGTGTTGGAATCCCTGGGCATGTTTCTGAAGTGTCTATTTTCTGCTTCCACTACTACTGATTCGTAGTCTTTGGAGATGGGACTTGGGAATTTGCATTTGAAGTAACCCAGGTAGCCAAGCACGAGGCTTTTTGCTAAATGATGTGCCAATCTTTTCATTTGGAAACTTGGGGAACTTTAATTCTCTTCTGTAGAAAGCACTGTCCACCTGGTATAGGCCAAAGAATGAATTAGAGATGTCTCAGCTAAATTAAATCTGTTGAGCCTTGGAATTTTGTAAGAAATACAGAAAAAGAAACCCTTTCAACTCACTGAATTCTGTATTAATTTAGAAGTTTCCAAATATAGTTTGGCCCCTGCCTGGTATAACAGTGGCTAAAGGCAGTATATTCATAGCTGTTTTCCTTGGGTCTGTTGTACCCAAAGGACAGTCTCCATTAAGTAGAGAGTAGGTTATAGAGTGTTTCCAGTCACGCTGCTGTATTTTAGGCAGATAAGGCAAGGAAAACCTTTGGCAAAAATTTCAAGGCCATCTACATAGTTTTTACAGAGCTATAGTCCAACCTGATTTCAGTTCCAGGAAGAAAGTCCTGATTTCTTAACAAAGATTTTAAATAAGCACTTCTGTATCTAGGATGTAGATGTCTCCTCTCAATTTTTCTTCACTCACCATGGAGTAAAGGATATAAAATTCATTTCATTAATACTTTCTTTTGGTTACAGGTTCCTAAACCTCTACAAAGAAGTGATTTTTCTCTTTTTTAAGCCTAATTAAGAGGTGACTTCTGCCTCGGTACAGAGTTTTCATTTCCCTTCTCTTTCTTTTCCCTTCCTTCATTTCTCCACTTCTCTCCTCCCCCCACAGCTTCCCATCTCTTCCCTGCCAGAACTACTCCCCCCCCAGCCCCACCCCCAGCAAAATTAAAAAAAAAAAAAAAAGCCACTGAGAATGTGCTGTTCCAGAGTAGAAATCAGAAACCTTTCCCCAGTTTTTTGGCAACTACCTTTCCCACTCCTTTTGCTACAACAGAGGTAAATAATTGATGGTCACCATTGTTTTCTTGTTAGATTGATAATGTCTGAGGTCCAGCGCCTTGAAATAGTACAAAACTAAAATGTAAAAGCTTAGAAACTACAGATCTGGCAGCAGATGTTTTTTGCACCTGCTTCAGTCGTAGATAATGGACTAGAATTACAAACCTTTTTGTCTCTGTGAATCTCTTCCTCCCTGGAATAGTCCCCGTGCTGAGAGCCATCAGTCTTCTATTCCTACTTGAGTGAACATTTTTTTGGTCTGCTTTGGATTATGGAAACTCACCTTAGAAACACTTGGTGTTGGGGCGCCTGGGTGGCTCAGTCATTAAGCCTCTGCCTTCAGCTCAGGTCATGATCCCAGGGTCCTGGGATCGAGCCCCGCATTGGGCTCCCTGCTTAGTGGAAAGCCTGCTTCTCCCTCTCCCACTCCCCCTGCCTGTGTTCCTGCTCTAGCTGTCTCTCTCTGTCAAATAAAATCTTAAAAAAAAATTTTTTTTTAAAAAAAAGAAAAGAAACACTTGGTGTTTTCTGTGCCATTTTGCCTGCCTGTCTACTGTAGGGCGAGTAAGCTAGACACATTTGTGGTCCATGATGTCTCTCTTTGGATGATGCGTTCACTTGTGGGTTCGCTGTTTGAGCTGCCGGCAGTTGAGGAGATGAGGTACATACACATGCTAACCTGGCAGAAATAGTCAGTATCATTTCATTCGTTTATTCAGCAGATACTATCTAGGTGACAGTTCAGCTGCTCCAAGTATCATTACAATGAGCAGACTCAGTAACCTGACCATTTTCCCATTTAAATTTTTGGATGGGTAGTACACGATGTACATGGCAAAAAATTGAAATAGTGCAAAAAAGTGTACTTTTATATATATGTTTTATATATAAATAATACCTATCCTTTATATATAATTATGTTAATTGTATATAATACATAAATAATATATTTATATATATATTTTACACACACACACACACACACACACACACACACACACACATATATAAAATGACTCCCTTCCATCTCCAACTCTCAGTCTCTCAGTTCCCCTTCCTCAGAGGTAGCCAGATACCATTTTCTTGTTTTCTCTTCCCAAGAGATTCTATGCATTCATAAATAAAAATGGGTGGACAGACAGATCGATCCATTGATCAATAAGTTGATAAGCAGACTAACATCCCTTCCTTAAAAAAAAAAAATCACATACTGTTCTATACTTTGTTTCTTTACTTAAAATTTTTATCTTAGTGATTGTTCTTTTTTTTCCTACAAGAAACCCACTTTTTCTTTTCAGATTTTTATTTAAATTTTAGTTATTTAACATATAGTGCAGTTAGTGATTATTGTTTAACAGTATCCCATAGACAAGAATTTTGATGAAATGGCATTTGCCGTACATAACAGGATTTGATGTGTTTTTTAAAAACAAGAGGGGCGCCTGTGTGGCTCAGTTGTTAAAAAATAAGCATCTGCCTTTGGCTCAGGTCATGATCTCAGGGTCCTGGGATCGAGCCCCGCATCGGGCTCCCTGCTCAGCGGGAAGCCTGCTTCTCCCTTCCCACTCCCCCTGCTTGTGTTCCCTCTCTCGCTGTCTCTGTCTGTCAAGTAAATAAATAAAATCTTTTAAAAAACCAAAAAAACACAAAAAAACAAATAAGATTGTGGGGCGCCTGGGTGGCTCAGTTGGTTGAGCGATTGAGCGTCTGCCTTCAGCTCGAGTTGTGGTCCCAGGGTCCTGGGATTGAGGCCTGCATCGGCTCCCTTCTCAGTGGGCAGTCTGCTGCTCCTGTTCCCTCTGCCTCCCCCCTCATGCTCTTTTTCTCGTTCTCTCTCTCAAGTAAATAAATAAAAATCTTCTTAAATAAATAAAAACAAATAAGATTGTCTCCATAAAGGCTTAATGTGTTATTTAAACTTCATTTTTTTAAGTTAAGAACTAACTTTTGAAATCAAGTAAATTCCATGTATGTTAGAAGCAATCTATAAGTTCATTTAAAAGCAGATAGATATTTTTCTTCCTAATGCTACTCACTTTTGTTATACAACAGTTTTCTAGAACACATAAATAATAACCAGTTTATCTTCTCTTTTATGGGAGAGAAACTAAAAAGAATACATTGTTTGTAATTATGTAATGTAGTTACTTGGTTGCATCATACCAAAATTTTCCTTCAAAGAATTGTTTAATATTCCTGTCATACATAAAACCTAGTTCATTAATGTTTGGAATGGTTATGCAGGTGCCCTGTAGATGAGCGGTGATTGCTCTTTCCCAAATAATTTTGCATGGTTGATTCATTGTTCCTGATTTTGTCTGACATTTCTTTTTTGAAACATAATATTTTCAAATAAAGCATAGGATGTAATGGCAAAATCCCTCTTGTAAAACAAAATATCCATTGCTGAGGCATCGCAAGGATTAATATCTTCTCATAACGCTTTATTTATAGTGTGTAGTTTTGCAAAAGAAGGTGTTAGAAGGATAAGGTAACATCTTTTTCAAATTAGTCCTCCAGTGTTAGAACAAGGTTTTCACTTCTTTGGTCCCAGTAGAAATTACTCTGTGAACGTTGGAATTTTTCCTTCAGTGATATCTTATATATGTTATCACAGTGGGTTCTTGAGAGAGTTGTACAGAAATTTGTCTTAAAGGGTGTTTTTCATCTTTGAATTTTGTCCTTACATGCAGGGAGATATTTTTTACTTGACTGGGCTGACTCTAGGGATGACACATACTTTACAAGACAGTAATTATTAATACACTGGAGCTTCTTGAGAAGGCTGTCCTCAAGATCCACACATGGCCATGCCATAGTCGGAACTATAAAATGTTGAAAGCATGTATTTTAATAGTCAAACTTTTCAGATTTTAAGAAATTAATACTGAAATTCATACTGTGACAGTTCATGCTATAAAGTCCATTGTATTATGGGGGGAAAATCCTTTCCGATGGTGTTTGAAACCAAAAGTTCCAAAGTTGTTTTTTCATAAGTTACTGGCCACATAGAAACCACAGTGTTCTAAATAAAAAGCTGCAAAAACTATCGGACCACCCAAATACTCATGAGCTGCACTGAAGGTGTCATGTGGCTAAAAATCCACTTTTTCCAATTTTAAATACTTGGAATCCTCTTGCAATAGCAAGCATCTAATTTAGGAATTGAAACATAAGCTCATTTAAAAAAAAAAAGGTCCTTATACACTAGCAGTAGATTTGCCTTCTATTTAAATATCTGAAAGTCTAAACTGTTTAGGCTGAAGGTTCACTTTATAAATGCCCTATCTATATACTTTAATGCATCATAATCATAATTCTGGTGCATCATTTCCTATGTTTATGTTCTGTTGACAGAGTACACTATGCCTTAAGCATGTGTTTTCCCACGTTTTTTCAAAAATGGTTTTCATAGTGAAACCATGCCCACTGACCCCCAAATCCTTTCCTGTATGTTTGCCGATTACTACATTTCTTTGTCATTTTCTTAACCATATCAAAGAGAGTCCGTACTTATGGTCCAGTGCCACTTGGAATCATAGTATCTAGAAGAGCATATCTCTGTATACCAGGTATAAGATAAAAAAATCTACATGTGGGGAGTGTTCCTTCAGTCTTTCCAGACATGGAAGAATAGTGTTTCCTTCTCTCTAACCTTTAGAAGGCTGCTATTGTAGATTTTGCTGAAATGCCCTTGGGCCAGAAAACTGTGTTGAGTTAATTAAATATGGCTTTAGAATTAGAGTTTATCTGGTCTGAGCCTTTCATTTTATAAGTGAGGAAACTGATTTAGCTTTGAACTTGAAGACTGTAGATAGTTTCAGTTATGAGCAGCTTAATAAAAAGGCTACTCAGATATTAGGAAATATTTCCTTTTACCCTACAGAGTCCATGTTTATTTATTTGTTTTATGAGGGAATTAACGCCTTAATGAACCTCGAACTTAAGAAACCAGTTTATTCGAACAGTTCATTTCTATTAATTTTGAACTAAAATCAGAGTAGGCTTAAAACAGTTTAGTAGTTCAGAAGTGTATTCCAGAAACATGCATATTAATTACTTGGTAAGGCTTTTGGTAGAAGAACTCTGGATTTGATCTGCTGTCTTGTAACTGAAATCATATAGTATTGCAATTACAGCCTTCCATGCCAAAGATTGCGCAGTCACTGTTCTCCTGACCAAAAATCTTGCATGTAAATTACGATGTGGGCAAGGACAGAACCAGCCAGATATGCCTGAACACACAAAGGGGTAAGTTAAAGTCAATCATAAACTAGGAATTTCACTTAGGCATCCATTAGACTGAGCACAGAGCTTTGGAGTGGAAATGGGAATTGGGGAGCTGTGCATAGAAAGAATGGCAGGGTGGGGGTGAAGGAAGGTTTTGTGTGAACAAAACCTTTTCTTTTTGATTTTGTTAAATTAAAAATAATGTACTTGGCTTCTTTCCAACCTTGGCTGAGGTACTTGGCTTCTAAGAGCAGTGCCTTAAACAACTCTTTCATTATAGTTCACTAAAAGTGGAGTCACTATAGTCTGGCATTTACTTGGCTGTCAGTGTCTTAAAGAGAGGGTCCACTTTTTTTTTTTTTAAGATTTTATTTATTTATTTGAGAGAGAGAGAATGAGAGATAGAACGAGAGGAAAGAGGGTCAGAGGGAGAAGCAGACTCCCTGCTGAGCAGGGAGCCCGACGTGGGACTCGATCCCGGGACTCCAGGATCATGACCTGAGCTGAAGGCAGTCGCTTAACCACCTGAGCCACCCAGGCGCCCCTCCACTTCTTTCTCTTCTCTTTCCTCCAGTGGTAGGGAAGTTGATCTTTTTGCCTCCAGGGATGGAATTATCTTAAAACAGGAATTGAGGTACTTAGTTTTGTTTTGTTTCTTAAGTGTTTTTAAAATTTTTTATTGCTTATTAGAAACTGTTACAGTTGGAGCATATTATAATCTTCTCTCTGGTCTTTCTCTTTCTTTTCTCAGTTGCTTTCTGCATTATTTGAGGTTCACTCCAGTTAGCACACATCCCAGGCTTTTAGTTGTAAAAGAGGCTAAAAGTTTGAAATCTAGAGAATCCAGTAATATGAACTTTGGCTTTTACTATGATTACAGATTAAACATAACACATACATTGCTCTATAATGCCTTCATGTAAGCCTTTCAAATTGTCCTAGTTTTTTTAATACTGACTGTACATTTTTTGTTCCAAAATCATTGGTATATATGTGGATAAAGCATAAAAGACCATGGACATTTTCTTGATGAAATTCAATTATTTCATGGCTACTGGAGTGGAATCTTTTTTTTTTTTTAAAGATTTTATTTATTATTTATTTGACAGAGACACAGCGACAGAGGGATCACAAGCAGGGGGAGTGGGAGAGGGAGAAGCAGGCTTCCCGCAGAGCAGGGAGCCCGATGCGGGGCTCGATCCCAGGACCCTGGGACCATGACCCGAGCCGAAGGCAGACGCCTAACGACTGAGCCACCAGGCGCCCTGTAATGGAATCTTTTAAAAGGCAACATTATAAGTTATTCTGACACACACACTACCATAACTACTACAGCCACCACCTTCCAGATGTATAAAACATTTGCTGTATTTCTCAAAGATCAACTAGTAATATGTTTTAATTAACCTGACTCATGATAGTCTAGTAGAAATGTCCCAGATAGCAGTAATCATCAAGGTCTCAAAGAAGTATAGTAGTTTATTTATGTGCTTTATCTGAAACTTCTTATTAAAAGTTTTACTTGCCTGTAGGCTAATTTCTTTCAGGTTTGGGGCATGTTTTCATTTGCATGGCAGTGTTTGGGTATATGAAATTAAAACTCATTAAATAAATAAATAAATAAATAAAACAAACTCATTTCATGATCTGCTCTAAAGTATCTAGACCAGTATGTAGGGTTTTTGGAAATTCTTGGTGATTACTGAAAATTGTGGTTAAACAGAGTTAATATTCTGTGTTCACACCCTAGCATACTTCGACATATTAGCAAAGAGGATATTTTGGGCAGCAGTAATCTATACTAATGGGTTTGTCCTCTGACATTAAGTTAGCAGGCCTTTTGTATATACAGCTAATTAATGGACTCAAGAACTTCATTTGATATTTACTTAAATTGGATTTAAAAGTTTTAATAACAGCTTTGTAAAATATAATTCACATACCATCCAATTTACCTCTTGAAGATGTACCAGTCAGGGGATTTTTGTATATTCATAGAACTGTGCCACCATAATCACAATAATTTTGGAACATTTTCATCATTCCAGAAAGAAACCTCATACCATTAACAGTCATTCCCGTTCCCCTCCAACTCCCCTTCTCCTGCTGCCCCCCTCCCCAAGCCCTAGGGAACCACAGATCTACTTTCTGCCTCTAGATTTGCCTATGCTGAACCTCTCCTACAAATGGATTTCTGTAATATTTGTATAATATGTCATGTTTTGTATCCAGCTCCTTTCACTTAGCATAATGTTTTCAAAGTTCATCCATGTTGAAGCATGGCTCAGTACTTTATTACTTTTTATTGCCAAAATTTTGCTTTTAAGGTTATTTTGATATTCCCCCCGCTTAATTCCATTCTTCCCATTTCACTGTTAAATAAGCCCTAGGGTTTCTATCATAATTATTATGATTTCAGAGAGTAACCAGTTCATTTCTGTAAGCCACAAAGCAATCATCTGCATGCTCTAGAGCATTTCACATTTGATCTATTTGACACAAGTTTTGATTTTTCAAAATACGTTTTCAGAAAATATGGTCTTTGCTACTGCCAGTGACAAGCCCAGCTGAACTAGGCATATCCTTGTGATGCAGCTAGTTCATTTCAATATAGTTTGTATCAATAGCATTTTTTTTTATATATATCTAAGAAAGTTCAGGCCATTTTTCTATGCTTTCCTTACTTGTTCTTCACTAGGGAGTACCAGTATGTTATCAGAAATAGAATTCTTGGTCCTCCCAGTGCCTTAGGTTTATAAACATCAAATTGCATGAAAGATGAAGTTCTGTTATTAGCTGCAAAGTTTATACAGATATTCAGGAAGATTTACATACTTATTAATCTTCTTTGTTTCTCTTGGTAACTTTTGAATATGCATCTTCTTCAGGACCCTTCGAAAGATGCCCCGTGCAAAAGGTTAGTATACCCTTAATGGACTTCCTTATGTTCAACATAATGTCTGGCCAGAGGTTTTTCTGTAAATATACGTGTATAACATAACTTAAGAATACAGTTTGACTTGGGAAGAAAAGTGGGGAATATAGTTAAGGGTGTTGTGAAAGTATTGTATAGTGACAGATGGTAGCTACACTTGTGGTGAGCACCGCCTAAGTATCAACTTGTCAAATCACTGTGTTGTACACCTTAAACTAATGTAATATTGTATTACTATATTTCAAGTATATGTTAACTACATTTCAATTTTTTAAAATTACAGTTTAACAACTAACTCTTTTTTGGCCAAAATTACTGCAAATTCAGTAGTTCCTTACCATTAGCAAAATTAATTTTGACAGTTTTCAATCGTTTTGAGTAATCTCAAAAGTTCATGCTTTGAGTAATTTTTAAATTATGTTGTGACATAATTTGGAATCACATTTGGTGAGAGGCCAGTGCATGGACAGCTAACTACTGTTAAGTCAAGCCAACAGTTTCTGCAGCTCAGCCCCGCTATGCAACTTCCACTTAAAACTTAATCTCATTTAATCCTCACAACCACTCTGTAAGGTGTGTGCTATTATTATTGTATTTTATAGAAGGAAAAAATATACATTGCATGTGTATTCAGGGATTTGGGTTTTTTTTCCCAAAGGTTTACTTCAAATAATCCCTTGCTGTGGTTTTAGGAATACAATAGTATGAGTTCTGGAAGGTATACATTTGCCTCTTATTTAATCTGAGGTGAAGGACAGAGAATTCAAAAAATTTAAACTTAAAGGAAACTTAATAAATTCGCCTTCTTTAATATTAAGATCTTATGCTCAGCCAAGTACTCTGGAAAGAATTTGAAAACACAAGCCATAAACTTGCAGCAGACTTAGGCTACATATAACACTTGTTAAGAATTATTATGCACGGGCGCCTGGGTGGCTCAGTCGGTTAAGGGACGGACTCTTGATTTCAGCTCGGGTCATGATCTCATGTGTAGTGAGATTGAGAGCCCAGTGTCGGGCTCCTCGCTTAGTGGGAAGTCTGCTTGAGATTCCTTCCCTCTTCCTCTGCCCCTCCCCCTGCTTGCTCATGTGCGCTCTTTCTCACTCTCAAATAAATAAATAAAATCTTTTAAAAATAATAAAATCATAAGATATATTTTACAACTACCAGGTTAGCAAAAATTGAAAATTCTACAGATAAGAGAAGTTGTTGAGGAAGTGGATCGCCAAGGTTTGTAGGCCCTCTTAGGGGAGCGTAAATAGGTACAGTCACTTTGGAAAAGAACTTGGCATTATCTAGTAAATTTGGCAATATGAATAACTTTTGACCCAGAAATTCCATTTCTAGGGATATATTTGAGAGAAATGCGTGCACAAGTATGCCAGGAAACACATACATAGAATGTTCATAACAGCATTATTCAAGCTAGCAAACTACTGGAAACAACCCAAATAACCATTCCTTAATAAAATGAATCCAAAAAATAATAAAATAAAATGAATGAATCCATTCTGGTATATTCATAAAGTGTAATACTACAAAGCAATAAAAATGAATGAGTCACAACTACATGCCATAACCTGAGCAAATCTCCAAAACAGAGTTCTGTCTTATGGCCGGGGAAGTTACTGTTGCACCTAAAACTCTTCTGGTGCAGCATAAATCCATTTCCTCTGCTTCTATCCCCAATGACAGCTAAGTATTACAAAGGATTGCATGAGGATTGGTGGTCAACCATTCTCAGTCTTTTGCATGGAAGAATTTCTCCTCATTGTTTTCTCAAGGACCCTACTTTTGTCTCTTGTGGTTCTCCAAGATACCTGAATTGATTACCTTTCTGGGGACGTTGTACTTCAAAGTTCCCATGTGCCATAGTGATGTTGTACATGCCAGTTGGCTTGCTTGCTTCTTTTACACTAAGCTCCTTGGTTGACATTCTAAACTCTGGGGCAGCTTTCTGCCATACTTAAATGTACAAAGTACCAGGCATGTTTAGGCAAGGAGAATCATTTTTGTTATTGAAACTGGGCTGGTTTTATTGGCTTCAAAACCTTTTAATACCAAGGATGCGTATGTCTTAGTAGAGGGACATGCAGGTCATTTGGATCATGGAAAAATTACACTTTAAAATGAGCAGTGCTAATGAGCTGAATAGAGAAGAATTATTTTAAAGAGAGTGATGACAATCCTGAAGTTCCTAAGAAAAGTCTCTTAGAGGACTTCTCAAGCCAACTGCGATTTATTTAACTTTATTCGACCTTCTTTTTCCCCCTAAAAATGTATTTATTTATTTTAGAGAGAGAGCAGGAGGGAGAGGGAGAAAGAGAATCTCAAGCAGGCTCGATCAGGGCTCGGTCCCATGACCCTGAGATCACGACCTGAGCTAAAACCAAGGGTTGGTTGCTTAACTGACTGAGCCACCCAGGCGCCCCAACTTTTTTTTAAGCCAACTGCCATTTATTTATTTAACTTTTTGATATGTTCTATGTGGGTGTGTATCCTCGTTAGTGTCCAAACTTAACTGGAGACTAAGAGGATGGGTCTGGAATCAGATGGGTTGACTCAGTTCGCTTTGTGATTTTAGGTACAAGGCTCATGTTCTCTGTATACGAGAGTAATAGTAGTACTTATTTCATAGGGTGGTTATGAGGATTAAATTTAGAAAATACATGTGAGACAGGTAAAACATTGCCAATAGTTGTATCAGATGGTATTGCTTTTAAATTTGTAATTATATATATAAAATGGTGGCTTTTTTCCTGTTTAAAAATGTTAATTCTAAAATATGTAAAAAACAAAGCACAAAGAAGAAAACTTTCAGCCATCCATAATCCAGAAATAACCACTACTTGTCTTTGTAAAAACATATAAAGAAGCGTGTATGTACGTATATATTTTTTCATATCATACTATGCATTCTGTTTTTAATCTTTTAAAAATTACTGTTTAATATTATCATACCAATCCAAATGTTTTTTCCTGCTACTTGGGTGCTAAAAAAAGTTAAACTTCCCAAAGTAAATAAAAACTCTTTGCTTATAAAAATATTAAAATGTGGGTGTTGAAAGATAGCAAACGTTTGGTGTCAGGTGTTCACGGCTTCATTGCTTTCCCCCCACTTCTAGTTGCTGGTCGTACTGGATTTTGCCCATCCTAGGCGCTATTGTCTTAGGTTTCCTGTACCGTTACTACACGGCGGAAAGCAAATCCTCCTGAGGAGACCGTGTGGAAGTTGGAAAGCATATCCATTGGGAGTGCGAGCTAGAGACTTGTTTGGAGGCCAAGCGATGCCCTCTTCTCGAATCCTGCTGGGTGTGTGCTTCCCCCTTGGAGGCCAGATGGTTGGCCAGACGCCCACCCCAGACCTGGGGCCAGTGTCCTTCATTTCCCAGAGCCTTACTCCCAAAGCACCTGCTCATTGTTCTGTGTCCCTGCCAGTGCTCCTGTCTCCACTGGCTTCCACCAGCCCCTTTGTGTTTCTGAACTTGGTTTTATAATTACAATCCAAATGTCCCAGTGACATTGTCCTTTGGTGAAAATGCCTGCTTTCCAGTTCCTTGATGTACATCAGACGTTCTTAACAGGGCAACACACTGGTTCTGAAGCTTTCCTTTTTCCATTTTTCTTCTGGCTTCATTCTATTATTTATCATAAGGGGTTTAGTTAGTGAAGTAAAGTTGCACACCTATGACTTAAAACACAACTGCCAGATGATCTCGTTCCTTGTTTGTATTTGTTCAAACTCTGAAGGACCGTGAAATCCTGTCCTCCCTCCGGAGCTAGGGTAGCAGGTAGCTCTTGCCACCCCCCATGTCTGCCAAGTGCTGGACAGAACTGTGCTTCCATCGTATGTCTTGGGAACGGAGACGAAGAGGGAAGGGGAGAGATGAACTGGGGTGAGTGATATGGTGAATTCCTAGTCCTCTTTGTTTCGCAAAATATTGAGACACTACTTAGGATGGGAGTTTAGGAAAAGCACCAAAGACTTCATTCTTTTCTTTTTTTTTCCCCCAAAGACTTCATGCTCTACTTTGGTGTGGCATCACTTTCTAGCCATCTTCTTTCTTTTCCCCCCAACTGTCTTATTGCTGAGATACAAATTGATAATTCTATTTGTAGAACTTTACCAAAATTTTTTTATTGATTAGTGAATTTTTTCACTCCCTGTTTTACAAAAACAAGAGAGTCCAACTTGATCAAAGCTACAGTAGCTGATTTTCTATTAGCCCCAGTAAAAGAACTTCCATAGTAAAGTGACCTTCGAAAGGGGGAGACTGTGACAAGAGAATGCTTTCCATTTCATCCGGATTTTACCTCCATGGCTCCAATTTGTGGTTTTGTTGTTTTTCCATTGATGGGGAAAAGAAAAAAGCAACCAGCTAGAAGTTTTATTCCTTTTATTCCTTTAATTGAAGAGTAGGTTATTTAGAATTATGTGAGTGTTTCTTCTTGGTTCAGGAATTTCTCTGGCTTATTTGACTTTACTTTTTTTTTCCCTGTGGAAGCACCTGAGGAGACAGTGTACGGGCTGTTTTCTGCCAACAATTGTTTGTGGTGATTTTTCTCCCCATCTTTTAAGCATTACCAGTTTGCTTCTGAGCCATTGTCCTGTGCAGCAAGGAGTGGCTTGGTTCCAGAAGGACCATGGACACTACTCAGTATCTCCCCCCACCCTGCCTTCACTTCCAACTTGCCACAGACTTGACAAGACAGGAAAGGCCCCCGCAAAGCAGTGTCTGCTCCTGCAGACTATTTAAGAAAAGGTTCAACCCAGGTCCTGTAGTGAATTCAGAATTCATCAAAATAATATTAACCTTGTATTTGCACACTTGGATATGATATTAGGAAGAAATTTTAGGGGATTTTTGGCATACTTTTATATATCAGTGGTGTGGGAATAGTCAAACTTTTATCTTTAGAAAATATTGTATAAGATGCCACTTTTAGACAATTTATTGAAAAAAACCTTTGGTGATTATGTAACATAAGTGGTGTGACTGTTGATGCTCCTCCCATTTGAAGGCATAAGGAAGGGCTGCATTGAATAAGAATTTGTATATAATTGCTGTAATAATTAAGCTGCATGATTACATGGGCCACATTGGGGGTAGAAATGACGAACAAAGGACTATTGAGGAACTGGAAGGGGAACATTGAGGCTGAAACTAAGCCAGCAGATAACTTGGATCAATTAAAATATATTGGCAGTCTCCAAAATTAAATGAAAAACATCTGGCTTATAAGAAATGTTAAAGATTATAGTCTTAAGTAAAATTGGTGGTTTTTTTTTTAATATATTTTTAGGGTGAATACTAACACAAAAGGTATGCTTTTCTATTTCATATTGGTTTTCTTTTCTCGTTTATATATGGACTTGTTTTTCCTCGGAGCCAGAGGAAAAGATTTTCAGACTTTGTCTCTCTACTGTCCTTGAAATCCATCCAACACCCAGGGCTTCTTTTGATCTACTCCTGATGTCACTTTGTATTAGAAAAACCACGTTTGGGTCCATTCACTGTTATTCTGCTGAGCCAGGCGAAAGGTAGAGCTAGCGTGCAAATTTGCAGAGGTTTTTCTAAACAGTAGAATAATACAGTATGTTAGCCAAATCCATCAAAAAGGACTTGTTTTAAGAGGTAAACTCAAATTCTCGTAACAGTCTCAACATTGGTAGGTCGCGAAAACCCTTCTGGAGAGTAAGTGGAGCCAGTCTCTGTTGGCTGATGGGGCCCCCGAGGGCTGGTCTCTGGGGTGGTGGGTTGTTCGTTTCCAAGGAGGACCAGCTGTGGCCTCACATGATGGCTGGAGGTCACAAAAGGAGGAGATGAGGGACAATGTGTGCCACCCACGTGGGGATGTGAGTGCCAGGTCTCCAAAATTTCCTAGCCCCTGTCCCTTAGTAATTGGTTTCGGTTTCTAAACAACTCCACATTTGTAAAGACAGTAAAGTGGTGGGGACAAAGTTGATGCTGTGTTTAGTTTTTTGGCGACCTCTTAAGCAGAAACAAAAATCCATTGGAACCTATAATTTGAGCCTGTTAAGTTCTTTTAGCAGTTGCCATAAATGCATATGTTGTGAGATAAGAGCATTGTTGAGTTTATACTCATTGAGTTCCGATGTGGAGCAATGAGAAATGCTTTATATTTATAGGCCAGGTATATCATTACTTATGGTATCTCATGCTTCAAATCTCAAGTGATACCTATCTGGTTAAATTCCATTTTAGGAGATTGAAATGCAGAACATTAACGTTCATTACTTCCTTTCCTGAGAGAAATGGATTCAGACATGTCTTGTCTCAACAAGAGATTGTTTGTTTTTTTTTAAACCATCTTATTCTGTTGCCAGATATCACAAAAGTAATGGGGAGTTTAGTTCACATTTGGCTGTTGTTCTCTGAAAGGGCCTGGTTTGGAATTTGTGGGGGTGATTTCAGAGGGAGGTTCCAGAAAGCAGAGAGGTATTTGTCAAGTTACCTACCCAATATCTAGCATCTTACTCATAAGTTTTAGGAGCTGCTTTTTTCCTGTACCTGTATTCTACATGTGCTCGTTGGGCAAAATATTATGATTATTTAACTTCCTTTCTTTTTACTTCACCCTCAACTGTGAACGAGTGATATTAACATTCCTTTTGTGTATTCAGTAATGGAGTTTGTTTACCTATTTTATTTCAGCATATTTTGAACAAAGATCTTTGTCTCTTTCTGCTGGAATGTGCACACAGTGAATGTTTGTTAGAACTACACACAATAAAGATACTGTTTTCCTTTTCTTGCCCTGACTACAGTTATTAATTTTTTTTTTTTTTTAAAGCAGAAGTGTTGGCTCTGTAATCCTAAGGTGTTCTGGAAGAAAGGAATTTGAGAAGCACGAAAGTTACCTGTATCTGTGCTAATACTGTGTTTAGTGTAACTTGGTGGACAGTTCTGTGGTTCTTCAGTATTCCTTCTGCTGCTTTTTCTTTGAAGTTAGTTGCTCGGTTGATAATCACAAGAGGCAAAAATCAAGACTTTTGCTGTATTAATGGACATGAAGTGGCAACCAAGTAGACCAGTTGGGAGTTCTGTTTTTACTGAAACGATCTGGTAAAGAGAAGCCAGTACAAGGTAATAATATTTTGTTATCTGCAATTCCAGTCTTCAAATGATTGTTTTTCTTGGAAATAGCTAAACTGTTGGGGAAAATTAAACACTGAGATTGAAGTTCTAGCGACTGTGTTAATTAAACAAGGGAAATAAACAATTTTTATAATTACCTTTAAAACATACTGATAGCTTTCTAACATTACTAATGAGACATCGTTCATTAGGGCTTGGTTATTTCACTGTCACATGAATTACCAACAGGAAAGGATAGGCCCATTTTTACTACTAGTGTTTGAATCTAATGTTTAATCCCCAGTCCTAATAATTCATATGACTGCACTCTTCATGATACTGAGTATTTGGCAGGTGCTTGACAAATCCTGGTTTATTCCTGAAAGCCTGAGGTGGAAGATGGTGATTCCAGTTACGTAAATTTAAGGTAAGAAATACCCACACGGTCTACTGAACTGCTGGCAATTGTAGGTATTTTTGGTAACCTAACATTAATTAGCTTAATAGATATCTGTAGTGTATATTGAAAGGACCACTCAGCTTAATCACATATATTCTGGCATTTAAAAAACTTAATTTTTTTAAGACTTTTTTTTTTTTAAGTACTCTTACCCAATGTGGGGCTTGAACTCATAACCCCAAGACCAAAAGTTATATGCTCCACCAACTGAGCCAGCCAGGTGCCCCTAAAAATCTTAATTCTTTTATAAAGCATCCAGGAAAGACTGGAGTTGCTGTCAAATGAAACATGAGGATACAGCTGTAGTACTCTTTATCACTTATGTGCCACCTGCTACGTGCCATGCAGTACCTCTGACAGCATTTCTGGTCCTTACCCTTACGGCATCCTTACACAGTAGATGGGGATTTCTGAACTTCACCAACAACTTGCCTGAGGCCACACAGCTAAGATGAAAGCCAGAGTTTAGATCCAAATATAGCCCCAAACTCTCCACTTCCTCTATTGGTGGTTCTCATATAAGAACTGTTTAAACTTCATAAGAATTAATAGTGTGCTTGGTATATCTACTACTAATTCTCATATATAGGTGTTTCTGTGTACGGTCAATGATATGGGATCAATAATAATCATTTTCTCTGAATTAGTAGATTACTAAAAAAATAGCTGCTTAGGAGTCCCTGAAAAATCTTGGTTGTTGAAGAGATCCTGTTTCACTGGAAACAACTTAGTTAAAATGTTCCTTGTAGGGGCGCCTGGGTGGCTCAGTCAGTTAAATGTCTGCCTTTGGCTCAGGTCATGATCCGAGGGTCCTGGGATCCAGCCCCGCATCAGGCTCCCTGCTCAGCGGGGAGCCCGCTTCTCCCTCTCCCACTCCCCCTGCTTGTGCTCTCTCTCACTCTGTGAGAGAAATAAATAAATAAAATCTTAAAATAAGATGATCTTTGCATCCCTTGTAAAAACAGTCTCTTAAAAACAGTTAATGAGAATTTAGATTTGAACTATGTTGTTAGAAACAACTTTTTTTTTTTTAAAGATTCGTTTATTTGAGAGAGAGAGAGCGTGCGCGCACATGTGCATATGAGCAGAGGGGTGGGGCAGAGGGAGAGAGAATCCTGAAGCCGACTCCATGCTGAGTGTGGAGCCCGATGTGGGGCTCAGTCTCACGACCCCGAGATCATGACCTGAGTTGAAACCAAGAGTCAGATGCCCAACTGACTGAGCCATCCAGATGCCCCTAAATTTATAGTTTTTAAATGGGAAGTAATTGATAATTGGTTTGCTTGAACTTAGCCTTTTCTGAACCTTCTCTACAAATCATGACTTCTGAGAAGTGGAAATCCTGTACTTCGCACCATGTACAAAAGATTTGAAAACTCATTTCCAGCTTTTGAGATTGTTACATCATGAAAAGATGTTTCTCATTGAAGTGTGATTAAAGGAAGCACCACGTAACACAAGTAACAGATGCTGTTTGTTACAAGTGTGACATGGCATTTTTTGTTTTTTGTTGCTGGTTTTTGCCAGCCTCAAAGCAGTTTCCTCTCGTTTGCTCCTGGTCCTAATCTCTGTCATTGAAACACTGATGTTAACTTTAGAACCACAGGGACCAGGAAAGAGAAAAATGAAAAAAACCCAGGTGCTTAAATTTCACTTTTCCTTACAGAAGCTTTCTTCTGAGATTTTTCCCCCCCTAGCTTCCTCATCTGAGTTTTTCAGAAAGGGGAGGTGGTGTTACCTTACAGAACAACAGGATGGTGTCCACAGTAAAAATGAAGCTTCTCACAAATCTGCCCACTGACGCAACTACCCAAAAAGTCTGATAATCAGGAACAAATAGAGAAATGGGGGAAGCTACACCCTGAACAGCACAGGAAGATGAGCTTTCCAAGACTCCCAATCGGACCCCCTTTTTTCTCTGAATTCTTTAAAAAATCTTTTTTGAGTTTTTCCTTAGTTCTTATCCTAACCCCTGCCCTGCTCTTCATTGAACGACTTTGCCTTATGTTTTACTAATAATTACAAGATAGCACCTCAGCTATGCTTCTCTTCCGTTTTAAAGTATTGTGGTACAAAAATGTACCCGTTAGTCTGTCCTAGAAAACATTTGGAAGAAATAAAGCCGATTTGTTTATGATTTGGACCATCCATGTAAACTAGTGCACTTCTGTTTGAACATCTTTGTTGACCTTCGTTTAAGGCTAAATTCTACCTCTGGACCTTTCATGTATGAGTCAGTAAATTTGTTTTTTGTCTTTTTTTTTTTTTAAGATTTATTTATTTGAGAGAGCGAGAATGAGAGAGAGAGTACATGAGAGGGGGGAGGGGGAGGGAGAAGCAGGCTCCTTGCTGAGCAGGGAGCCCGATGCGGGACTCGATCCTGGGACTCCGGGATCATGACCTGAGCCGAAGGCAGTCGCTTAACCAACTGAGCCACCCAGGCGCCCCTGTTTTTTGTCTTAAGCTCATTCACATTTGGTTTCTTTTTTTTTTTTTTTTTTTAAAGATTTTATTTATTTATTCATGAGAGAGGGAGAGAGAGAGAGAAGCAGAGGGAGAAGCAGGCTCCCAAGGAGCAGGGAGCCCGATGTGGGACTCGATCCCAGGACCCTGGGATCATGACCTGAGCCGAAGGCAGACGCTTAACCATCTGAGCCACCCAGGCGCCCCACATTTGGTTTCTGAGACCCATATACTGACCACTATGGTCTCTGCAATTTATCTGACCTTAAATGCCTGCCTTGGTAATGATGTCTTTGTAAGGATTTTGCCTCTCTGAAGTATACCCTAGCTCTCATAGGGCAGAAGCTCATTTTCTGTTCCGTGCTAAGTCTTAACTATCTTTGGAAAGAAGAAATACTCTTCACTTAAAAAAGATACCCAGATTCTTTTTTCTTTTTTTTTTTCCCCAAGGATTCAATTTATTTATTTGCGAAAGAGAGTGAGAGAGCTGAACAGAGGGAGGAGCAGAGGGAGAGGGAGAAGCAGACTCCCTGCTGAGTGGGGAGCCACATGGGGCTCAGTCCTGGGCCCCTGAGATCACAACTTGAGCCAAAGTCAGAGGCCTCACCAACTGAGCCACCCAGGTTCTCTCTCTCTCTTTTTTTTTTTTTTTTTTTTTTAAAGGTAGGCTCCATGCCCACTGTAGAGCCCAGTGTCAGGCTTGAACTCACAACCCTGAGATCAAGACCTGAGCTGAGATCAAGAGTCGGATGCTTAATGGACTGAGCAACTGAGGTGCCCCAATTATTTTTTTTCATAGATTAAGATAAAGAAAGCTATTTAAGATACTATAGGTAGAAGGGAACCTACTTGTTATGACTCAGTTATGAATAGCTGATGGAACTCAAGGGTAGGAAGCATAGCTGGACTTCAGGACAAACTAGGACTAGAAATCAGAAGATCAATAGCAATCAAAGTGGCTACATTAATTTCCAGTCCAAATGCCTAGGAAGTTAATTCCTAGAAATGAGAATGTAGTAAGCCAGGTAGTATCCCAGTGTCTACTTCTGGTCTCATCAAGGGCATGGGGATCCAGGTTTGAATGGGAGGGGGATCATAAGGGAAGCAGTGACCTAAGGCAGATACTATAATCACACACACACACACACACACACACACACACACACACACACACACAGTGTGTGTGTGTGTGTGTGTGTGTATTCAAGTGTCTTCAGTTATGGACTATGACCTCTGAAGGAAGGGTCTTCTGCATCTCTCAGGGTACTCTGCATGGCTAGGCCATAGGGAGGGCTAAGTAGATTCAGTATGACTTATCACACTGTGTCTGAATAAACAACCATAGCCAAATTTGCTGAAGACCTATCTAGGACTCCCAAGTAGAATTTTGAGATGAATCCCAGTGTTGCCCACATCACTAACAACCAAAACCCCCTTCACTCCTGCATGCTCACAAACCATCCTGTTTTCTCTGTAAATAGATTCAGCTGTCAGTATTTATTGGTTTCATATAAATTGTTTTAAGTTTTATTTTTTAGAACGGTTTTAAGTTTACAGAAAAATTATGCAGATAGTATAGAGGGTTCTCATGAAGTGGGCACCTGTTTTCCCCTATGAACAGCTTCTATTAGTATGATACATTTTTTTTTAAGATTTTATTTATTTATTTGAGAGAGACAGAGAGCATGAGAGGGAAGAGGGTCAAAGGGAGAAGCAGACCCCCAGCTGAGCAGGGAGCCCGATGTGGGACTCGA